AGCGTTAGAAGTTTCCACAGCCAGAGTGTCTTTAATATCTGTATTTGACAACCGACCAACAACTGCTCTCCTCTCCAAACCGTACAACTTTGGCTTAATTGTTCATTAATCTGCCGGGAGCTTAAGTACTTTGGATGTCGATTGTTCCAAGCCCGATTGCTTTTGACTCGGCGTAATACCGTTTGACGACTGCTCGCTAACTGATCGGCCAACCAAACTACTAACTAACCACTAACTTTAGATAGCATCCCGTTCCTCTTCTACTGACCCGTGCCTTTTTCGCAAACCGCAACCGACAGCGGACGGCAACTCTGACAACGATACGAGATTTCAACGTTAAAATGCGAAGGAAAAATTCAAAGCAGCGGAAAATTCGAAATAGTGGTCTGGCGTGAAAAATTTAACGACGCGTTTTACATTTTTCAAACGACGTTACAGCGTCTATCCAGCAATTTTTCATCCCGAGTAGAGTCACGCTGAAAATCAATTTCGAAACGACACTCGACGTGTCTTTCATAACGATGGCTCTTTCAAAGAACTTTCCCTCTCTGCTACCCCTCTGAACCTGCGCTATCTATGTGACTGCGCGAAATTGGTGTGCACCGTTTAAAACCCTCCTAGACGTTATCCGCGGATAAGTAATCCGGCCAGGAGATTCGAACAGGACGCCATGGCGCTGTAATCGATAATTCCTTACGGGGGTTGGTTGGTTTATAGGTGCTCTCGAGCCATCTAAATTGCGTAGAGATTAGGTGCTCGGAAACCCGTATCCAGGATCCCGTCGGTCGGCGGTGCAAACGGAAGTTGGAGCTGAAGAGGCGGAAAGGGGTGTGCAGAGGTGGTGGAAAAGGAGGAAACTCGAAGGTTCGAGGGTGATCGCGGCACCCTTGCCCCTCTGTTCCACTGGTTATAATGGCAAGATGGAAGGACCTAGGGGGCCAGGACTGGGTAGGAAATTTGCAAATTTTCGCGACAGGGCACGGATAATTTCCGGTTGGCTCGGTGGTTTCCGTACTTGACAAATGACTGTGGTTTCCGGTTATCGGCTGCGACAACGACCACCCCCTTTGCATTCCGAATTAGAGGGAATGTCTGCCTGCCTCTGGGACGGGCGACACTCTTTTCGATGCCAGACCCACGATTAGCGAGCCTTTTTGCTTACCTAGGAGCTAGGTCGGGCTTCGTTCTACAGAATCTTCGTCTCACGTACGGATGAGATGTTTCCTGGTCCAGGTGCTTGTTGTTTTATGGATGGTATGATAAAAAGAGTCCTCTCCCAGTGTTTTAAATATTCCAGTTTCTTCCTTTGCGAGTTTCTTTCTTCCGAGTTAATTCCTCCGCCATTCTTCGTGTTTTATTTTTTTAATGCAAGATTCGCTGGGAAATTCTACACTTTCCTCTCGGTTTTTCTTCGACCATATGATTTTTCACGGAACAATTGTTATATGTCCACACGAGTGCGGATAATGGGGCCGAAGTGTCTAATGTTCGTCGTGTTTCGATGCAGTACTCCGAGAGGGAAAGATTTTCCTTGACAAACGAAAGATCCAGTTTCCCGAATTCTATTAACTTAATCGAGATATCCGTCCCGACAAATACGCGTCTAGGTTCGTAAGCGACAAGAGACGGAAACGTTTATCTGGTGTGATCGGAAGGGGAGCGAAATCGTGGTATAAAATGGTAAATTATCTCTTCGGAGGAAGCAATACGTGGAGCGGGAAATGGATATTCCGTGGAAATTTGAAAGTAATTTTGAATCACGTTTACCGCGGACATTTAATAACATAAATCTACGCCGATGACGCAAACATATCGCATTTCGAAGACTCGCTGGATCGTTTCGATGAACGAAACTCCCGGTTCAATCGCCCTCATAACTCAAACAGCCGTGCAACGCGGCCCACGATTTCCATTAATTTCTAATATTACTGTACCCTTTATCGGCTCGTACAGCTGCTCTACTTATTCTATTTTTAACCTTTTCATTGTTATAGAGCGGAATGGTAGTTTCATAGTCGCTCAATAAATCCATTCGCCGGCCATGAGCACCGATCAATTTTACCGTTTATTTAGCGCGACTTTTAGCGTCTTTACTTAATCCGATATCGTAGCAATTGGCGATGTAACGAATATTACAAAAATTAATAATTCTACCACTTGGTAACTCCATTTCTGAACTCTCCCTTTCTGGTATAACTCGAAACGAAAGAGGCTACCAGCGTTCGAAAGACTACCTAGTTTCCGTGTGATAATCAGGGTCGAAATTTTCGTTCCTCGAAGTAACTTCTTAAATAGTTTCGTGACGTATCACTAAAACTTCGTTTCGAATTTCTTCCCGTTAATCTCCAACATCCCCGGTGTCATTAACATATCCTTTCCCGTCCAAAAGGCAACTCGATACGGCGAAACTCGCAGAAAATTATTGCAATGTGCGCTACGAAAATTCCAACCCCGATTCCGACACTCCTGATCGAGGAATAAATATATATCCTGAGGAATAAATTACCATGGAGCGGTGAAAATACTCACTGCGTACATTGAGATAATAACCGATGCTGGTGAATATGTCGAGCATGTGCCTGGTATAACATTTGTACCAGCCGCTCTCGGCGCGGCTGATTTTTGTGAAGTTCAGCCATCCGTCGTCGCTCTGCTCGACGGGCGGTGGTCCATTGTCTGAAACACAAACGGAGAGGCTGCACGGTACAGGAATTAACTCGCTGGAAACATCGCGTCGTCCGACCGAGTCGGCGGCGATTCTACGCGCGTGCTCCTCGCGCGGAACCTCGCCGACTGTCGATTAACCGGCGTCGCCGGAATTGCGCGGTCGACGCTGGCGTCGCGCCAACGCGGCCCGCGTTATTGTCCTTCGAAAAATCTGCTCGCGGGATTACGCGCCGAGTGGTTGAAACGCGTAGGAGGGGTTGCTATTCGGGGGTTAAGTCGCAGGGAACAGGTAACCCCGTGTAATTTCGGCGCTTGCTACCGGAGTCGCGGTCAATGGGAAACTTTGCGTAATTTCGGTGCCTTGAACGGAAGTCGTGGTCAATGGGGAACTTGACGTAATTCCGGTAACGCGGCTGGTGATCGCGGCGATGAAGAAAGGTCGCGTGAATTATGACGAATGAATAACCCGATGAGATTTTGGTTCTCGAGATACAGGTTGTGGTAGACGAGTTACGACGTTGACAGGGTTGGCAACGAATAGGTACCTTTTCTTTGTTCGGTTGAGAGAGAAACGTAAATTTTGGAGATTAACCACTTGCGCTAGAAAGACGTGTCACGCACGTCGAGATGCTTTTGTTCCAAAATCGACAGCGACGTGTACACCACGTCGATAGGCATTTATCGCAGAAATAAAAATGACGTGGACTGCACGTGGGCTAACAAGAGAACAGATCGTTCATTTCTCGAGCTATAGTTCGAGAATGCACTACGTCGCATAGTTTCATCGATATCTTGGAAATATTTCAGAATCGATAGTGTCTCGTAGGCGACACTGTGACACCTATAGAGATGTTGATAATTAAAAACGAGTAGAAATTGCAAGAATACGGAAACGGTGTTCCATCCAAGTGCACGATAAGAGGATGCTTGATCTAAATTTTTCATAGCATTTCCGCGATTCAGAGTACGACGCAATTTCGGACTACTTCTTTCGTGTCATCCATTGCTCCATTCGTACAGCTGAAATCAATTCGAGCGAATCAGTCTCTGTATAATATACCTCGTTACGTAACATTATCGCGTTTCATAGGCGATAAATCAAATTTAAAATTAGAAGACACAAGTCGCGGAGGATGGAAATTAATCGGGATCCCGATAAATCAAACGACCGGGCAATTTCATCCATCAATAATCCCAATTAAAACGAACAGCCGCGATAAATCTCTCGGCGTTACAAGCCTTTCGTGCAGCCGGAACTTGAAACCCCGCGATCGTATCGATCGTATTTTCGTTAATCAAATTAGCGCACGCGAGCCGGCCATCTTCTTTCCTTCCGTCGGGCACGAAAATACGTAAGGGCAAACAAAGGCGAGCCGAGAGTATCTACTCGCGGCTTGACTTACCCGAGGAGGACGCGGAATCCGGCGGCGGGAAAGAAGTGAAAAAAGCGGGAGAAAAAGAAGAGGAAGAAGGAAAAAGAAGAAAAGGAAGTGGAAGAAAGCGGGAAGGATCCCCGACGGTATCCGTTTCGCCAAGTCGTTGGCGAAACTTTCATCCGGCCATAGGCATCTCGCTGGTTGTTTTTAGTCCGCTCCCGATGCGATTTGACGAGAAGCAGGATTCGACGCAGCTGTCGGATTCACCGGCGGTTCCCCGGGCTGCGTCCTGAATGTGTAACAACGTCGGCCAACGCGAGCACGGGGACGAAGAAGAAAGGGACAGCGAGGGGGTAGTTGGCCAACAGCGGCGCCGAAAGAAAGCGAATCGAAGGGAGGAAGTTGCAGGGACGGGAGGAAAAACGTGCTCGCGTGTATCCTCCCGCGTCCACGGAGTTTTGCAGCGAAACTTTCGCGTGTTCCCGACATTACGGTCTTCCAGGGTGGAAACCGGGCTGGCTTCGGGGGAGGCGTACCAGCAGCGACTGTCCCGCTAAACAGCGAGCTCGTGGCGCTGCCAAAACACGCTGGATCGTGTTAACGGGATCTATAGAGAGGACAGGGCAGAGGCCAGCAAGATGTCGTGCTATTTTGTATGAAATAAGAGCGGCCGGTGACTTGGCCCGAGGAGCACGACATAACCGGTAGGGTTATGCGAGATTCCGGCTATTTGGCCCGGAAACAAACGAACCGTGCTTGAAACCGAGCCCCCGTGGCAGGGACGGGGCGAATGGGATACCGTGCAGTGGGTCGGGGTGTATTTAGTGCAGCGTGGAGCGATTTGCGCGCGTTAGCAGCTAATTTCGAGCGCCCTGGCTGCTGGACCAGGGTGTCCGGGTTACTTGGAAATAGTTGCATGCGGGGTAACGCGATCGTAGAGGGTAGAGGGAAGTCAGAAATCGGAATGCTTAAAGTTTCCCACGATCGGAATAAGGCGCTGGTTTGTGGCTCGCTTATTCGATTCGCTTTCCGACCGATTAAGGGACCGGTTAAGATTCCCGGGTTCTTACGGGGGTGGAAAAAAATATTAGGATTCTTAGGTTCGTTCGGGTAAAATGAAGTGGAAATAAGACTCGGGCGGAATGGAGTTAAGTGAAATAAAACGAGGATAAGATTTTTCACGACTCGAACGAACACCGGTGAGTAATTTTACCTCGCTCGTTTTATAAAACGAGATATTCCCGTCTAAGCTCGAACAGCCCGGCTATTAGAGGAAGCAACGCAGATTGCATTTTTTGCGCGCTTCGCGAATAAAAAGTATAGGAGCAATCGCGAAAGGAAGCATTCCCTCGGAGACGAGCTTGCGCGAGGTTTACTCCTTCCTTCAACGCGCACAATTATTCCGAAAGAAAAAAAAAAGAAAGTGTTACCCGGCTTTACTGCCCCGAGCACGTTAGTTAGCGAGCCGAAAAACTCCGAGAACGTAAATACCGTCCCGTTACGACACCCGTTTCCGCCATCTTAAGACTGCAACCGACTTCGCCGAGAATGAGAAACGTCTAATCGTCCGTTCCCGCTAATTAGAAGCGACGAAAGATATCGGGAAAACGCCCACTAGCGATTTTACCGCTGAAAGGATACGTTATATCCCGAAAGTCGACCTGCCCGAGGAAACCTTTGCTACCCCGAAAGAGCCATTTCTGCTGCCGTTTCTACCCGGGAAATACGAGCGAGTGGGATGAAACTAGGCGACAGGGGAAGAAATGAATCTCGGATCCACTCTCATAGACCTCGGATACATAAAAATCGAATTTTTTCCCTTCACCTAATCTCGCTCCGAGTAGATATCGCTGTATCAAAGAGGTCCGCTTTTTTCCTGGCGAAAAAGCCCAGGAACATTTAGAATCCGTCAACTCCGCGAGTGTAGTCGCGGGAAAAAGCGAAATGGGGTTACGTATAACAGACATATATATATTTGACTCCGGCTGGCATCGCATTATATGCTAGCTTCGTATGAACAATGATCGGATGGGGATCTACTTCCCCCGGAGCGGTTTCCCGCAGCTGACGCCCTCGTACGTTCTCCGGAACGTCCGTAGCTCGAATGTATCGTCGTGATAAATCGTTCGACGGGGCCGTGATAAATTTATCCTTCTTTTCATTTAAAATATCCTCGCCCTTAACCGGCCCACTTTATAGCGATCATTACATATTGATCGTATCGTCGATGGCGGAGAGCTGGCCAGCGCTTTTTCTTCCCATCCCCGTCGATAAGTCTTTACATCGACCAATGCCGGACGTCAGCGTGGTTCTCTGATTATTCCAGGCACGAACAGGGTCGCCGATTCTATCGTCCTGGCGAAATTTCGCGAACGGCAGGATAATGAGGATTATAGATATTTATCGATAAATTGAATTCGAGACGGGGTGCATAGAAGCAGGGTGGATGTCGGCACGCGGTTGGAAAATTGCTCGTAGCTCGAGGCTGGTATTCGCGGGGATTGCGATTAAGGCGTAGAGCTGGATCTCGCGTGAATTAACCGAATCGTCCGCGATGCTGTCGCAAATATTGCTCGTTCCAGAGAGAAAAACCGTCAACCGTGTATCGAAATTATCACTGGTTTAATTAGCCCCTCCGCGACGCGTTCCTATCGGCTCGACGGATGCGCGACCACCCCCAGATTTATATCCTTTGAAGAGGGAAGAAGAAGCGACGTTTCTCGAAGAGGAGAAACAAAAAGCGAGGAAGAATAAGGTAGCCGGTCTCGAGAAGAACTATCAAAGAGGTAGTTGAACCGGTGGCGAACGGCGTAATATTACACGGTCGGTCGCGAGGAAAAACTGCAGTTACCCAGCCCTCGCGCCATGATATATCGCTCGAAGACGAATGGTCAAAATATCTGGCAGAGTTTCACGGTGATAAAGGGCTCTTTGAAGGAAAGCGAACGTGCTTCCTCGATACCTCCGGGCATCTGGATTGGGACTCGTTTAATAAGAGAGCACCCGTTCCAAAAAGAAATTGGGATCTCGCGTCGGTGTGGAGAAGGGGCGGAAAAGGGGCGGAATGGGGTTGGAAAGAGGCGAAGGAGGGTCTAGACTGGGGTTGAGCTGAAACGCGAGGCTAGGAGCGAAGCAAGACGAGTCGAGGGACGAGAAGGATGTGGTTGGAAAGAGGCATCGCCCGGAGCGGGTACGTGCTCCAAAGGATATTAAAGTATTTTAATTGCAGCGGATTTCGCGGAACGCTGGAAGGATTTATTCGAAATCACTCGATTGAGTCTATGAATAGGGATTAAGCTCTCGCTTCTACCCTCCCCTTCAGCCCCGTCGACGTCCACGTGAACCGATGCACACGGCAGGCCAGAATTCCAGGACGTCAGGAATGGAAGGCAGGAATAATTGAACATTTAATGGGATAACTGGCGTTTATACCCGCCACGACGCCGTCGAAACCGAAGGAGAGACTCGATTTATCGAACGTTACCATCCGTCGTTGCTCCGACCGCGAGAAGGTTCGCGGTCTCTCTGCATCCAGAGCTAGACAATTTCCTGACCAATCTCGCTGTACTTTCTGGTTAAGTTCGCTCGTCGCTGGTTGCACGTCGAATCATCGGAATTTTAACGTTGATCGAT